ATCATAAAACGATCAAACTAATCGGCTCTTTCATCCTCCTCTAACTTGGATTTTATAACATCCTCTATGTTACAACTAATTTTCCCAATCAGAGTGGTTGCAGTTTGTAAAGAGCTTATCTGATTTGGGATCGTCCCTCAAATAGCACGGATCAGCTATAAAACAATGTGCTTATTTTTATATAAAATCCTTCATGCGTTAACTACTAATATGAAAGGAACAAATGGGTAGTTCAAACCAGGTTATATAATCTATATATATAAATAAATCAGGAATTTAAGCGTTATTTACTGAGTTTAGTTTTGTATTAAACAAATTTTTCTCACGCACACGCGCAGGCACGCGCAAATACACACTTAATTATATTTATATTTCTTCATATGAAAATTTTAGTCTTTCTTGAAAAAGTTCCATTGATTCAAAAGTTGAAGGTTTAGGAGACTGTTGACCTTGTATTATAGTTTTATTGGAACTACTTGTAAAACTAAAGTTCGCTTGCAAAGCTTGTATAGTTATGCCGCTGGTATTAACTAGTTCGAAATGATTTGAAATTAAGTTGAATTCAGACTGTTGTTAAGTTTCTTTTTGGCTGTAACTGAGATAGAACACGATTACATGTTTTTAATATTGTAAAAGTTATAATGCGTAACATAGAATTCTAATTTATGCTAAAGAATACGTATTATAATGGTTTATATATTAAGTACCAGAATGAAATTATATAATGCATCAAAAGTGTGTTTAGGTAGAATATAAATAAAAAGACTAATCTGTTGCGGTCTAGTCACTGTTCTCCCTTTAATCGCATTCTTAAGTGAAAACTTACCGGTATGTTTTGGAATTTTGAAAATAGTTGTTTTCAATCTGATCAATGAAATCTAGGTCCACTTGAGTGTATGAATTGTCTTCAATACTCATATCTGATAAAAAATAATTTGTTTCATTTGAATTTGCTTAAAATAATTGAACACTCTAGGTCAATTACCTCTTTCCCATTCAATTTGCTTAAAATCAGCAATGCAAAACAACGGACTAATGATTTGAGAAATAATGAAAAAAAAATATAATGATTGGGTAAAAGTTGTCATGGCATTTTGACTACGAGAGGTACAATATTTTAATTATATAACAATTTTAAAATGAAAGTTGTCAAATGTTGTTTTTTGTTTAAAAAGCACGAATGTTTATGGGACATAATAAGCAATCAAATTTATACTTTTAGGGAGTGGTAAAAAAACAATTTAGCAAAAATGTTTTACCCTCTCAAGAAGAGGAAACAGAAGATGTAAGTTGGCTTCATTGCTGTTATTAATAAAGAAATACTGTTTAAATTTGAATTAGTTTGGGAAAACTTATAAAGTGCGTTTATTTTATAGCTTATGAGTGGCAAGTGTTTTTTTTATTGTACCTAGATGAGTACTCATTTCAAAACAATCAATGAATAATATTCAGTATAAAAAGAAATTAATGGGATTACATTTTAATTTTTATTGTTTGTTTTTTCTATGTATTTGTAGATAGAATAGATAGATAGGATATAAAGGCTGGTGAGTATTTTTTTAAAATTATATCCAACAATTATTTAAGGTACAATTTATAATTATCTCTGTAGTTTTTTTTTTTCAGTAAAAAAGGTTATTACAAGTAACAAAAAATTAGTACAAGTAAACAAAATTAACAATATGTAATCAATTGTAATATTCCATTTAAAATTGTTTAATATATTGATTTTACATTATTCTTTTTCTTTTTGTTTTATGCTTTGGCAGTTCAAAATATTGCACGTATTGAAGAGACTCTAAAGGTGCTATTGGGTCAAATCTCGTTTGTAATGGAGGAGATTTAACACATTTAAAATGATTTTCAATTGTTGAAAAAAAAAATTAAATTACAAAACAAACAACTTTGTTTAATTTTGCTCCCCGAGGAAGTATTTATTTGATATCGGGCTATATTATTTCTTCAATGATACTCTATATATTAAGCGTTCAAATTGATACAACTACAGTTATAATTTGGTAAACAAGTGGTAATTTAATATGATTATAATCGCGTGTGTACTCAATAAAACGTACAAGTGACGAAAATTAAACTTAAAGGTATTATTTTGGTGTAAATGTGATATAAAAAAGGACTACACGATAGCGGAAACAAATAGTTAAGACAATTATTTTATCTTTAATCTCTGCATTTTCACGGCTTGCGCACAATTTAATACTCGACACAAGATTTATTTCAATGGAGATAATATTTCAATAAAAACGCTGGTTTGCTTTATAGATTAAAATCTTTATTTATTGTTGAACTGTAAATAATTTTGGTAAGGATATCATAAAACAGCCACCGGAAAATCTTTGCACCACCGGGATAGTGGCAAACTTCACTACCATTTATACTTGCCCTAAACACTCAAAAATTATTTCATCCGATAGTTTAAATGTTAATTATTAATAATTGACTTCATTTAAAGCTATTTTTATTTTTTTTCTTATCAAAAATTGTATTTTAAAAAATTTGTCCGGGCGGAATTTCATGTTTTCCGATCGGAATTATGCTGTCCGGGCGGAATTATTTAAATTCCAATTGGAATTTATTCCAACATTATTATTTATTCCAACGGGAATTTCAATTTTTATGAAATTGTCGAAATACATAAACACATGCTTAATATGTATTTGTATGCATTTTCTTGTTGAAATAACGTCTATTTAAGCATTTTTCGGAAAATCCGATCGGATTTTTTTTCCATTAAATTTAACTGATAAAAATCCGATTGGAATAAAACCCAACTGGACATTATTCCATTTGGAGTTTTTTCCAATACTTTTTATTGGAAATAAATCCTATTGGAATTAATTCCAATTTAAAAGGAATGGAAATAAATCCAATTGGAAGGTAATATATATTAATATTTAAGGTAGTTTTATGTACTTCCCGGACTAAATAAAGACAAGATATGGGCCGAAACGTGTTAGAGCCGATTTTTGCACGGGCCGATTTGATGTAATACTAAACTGCTGACGAATGATGATATATATGATAATTTATATAAGAAACTGCTAACTAGTTTAAATAAAGAAGCGTTATCGAAAACTGCTGACAAGTTAGATAAAGAAGGAAAAACATTGAAGATGTCAATTAGGTGTCAACTAGCTATTAGTGTTATTCTAGGCGAGGTCGAGAGATGCTTGATAAGACGTATTTTCAAGATGACACTATTACAAATAATAAATATTGATATATAAATAATAATTGATATATTTCTCAATTTCTATTGTTAAATAATTTTATTTCAGTATGTTAATGAAATGTCTTCTATGTGATATATATTGGATAAAATTTAGAAAATGTAGTCTTAATATGGTGATCTTACATATAAAAGAATATCATATTCCGGAAAATATATGAAGTGAGTGAGTGAGTGAGTGAGTGAGTTGGTGAGTGAGTGAGTGAGTGAGTGAGTGAGTGAGTGAGTGAGTGAGTGAGTGAGTGAGTGAGTGAGTGAGTGAGTGAGTGAGTGCACTCATTTTTTCATTCATTCATTTTTTCATTCATTCATTCACTCACTCACTCACTCACTTTTTCATTCATTCATTCATTCATTCATCTATTCATTCATTCATTCATTCATTCATTCAATCATTCATTCATTCATTCATTCATTCATTCATTGGATGATTACTTTAAATTTCTTAGACCGTACCATAATCATTTAGCTGTAAAATTGGACGGGGTTTGGCTTATGCAGTTCTTATTTTCAATTACCAATGAATAAAGAAATTCTCATTCGGCTAATAAATTGATTGGAATAAAAAATGAATCAATAAGATATATATGATTGGCCCCAAATGTTTGTTCACACCCCAAAATCTTGTGAAAACATTATGATCACTGGTCATAAATTACTTAACATGTTACTTAACAGAAGTTCAGTTCGATCAATTAAGTTTCATTACCCTTTAATCAGATTGAGATTCCATTGCATGGTGTGAAAACACAAATGACCCTCTTTAGATATATCACACAAAAAATAAATAAAATGTGGATCATTTGGCCATAAATTTTACATACAGTTTATTAAGAATTAGCTCTAAAAAGATTGTTTCTTTGTTTAGTTCATTAATTAATTAATTTAACGCTCTTTACATTCAGGAAAACATATTTTATAAAATCATGCCGACCACATAAATTTGTGAAAAACTGCTGATCAGCTAGATATTAATTCAATTTTATTTAAGGCCGTAAAACTTCTTATTCTATATGTTCGGCAAGTTTAACGCTCTTTACAAAAGGCTGACTATTAAGATATATAGAGAAAAATGATATTTTGCCGTGAAATTATTATTCATTTTATGTTGTCTGCAAAGTTAATATATTGTATTTAGTCATGTCAACGACAAAAATAAAATGCTGATCAATTTAATATTAATTCAAATTGATGAAAGCCGTAAAACTCTTCTTTTTCTATATGGTCAGCAAATTTAACCTTCATTCAGGCGAGCAAATGCTGACCATTAAATCAACAAAATATTTTACAAATAGAATCAGCAAAAAATAACTTTAATGAATAAACATATGAAAAATTATGGTTTTGATTGAATGATTACCTAAAATTTCTTTGACCGTAACATAATCATTAAGCAATAAAATTGGGCTGAGTTTGGGTTATGCAGTACTTATTTTCAATTACCAATGAATAAAGGAATCATCATTCGGCTAATAAATTGATTGGATTGCAAAATGATCAATGACATATCTGATTGGCCCCCAAAAACGTGTGAAAACATTTTTATCACATGACATAAAATACTTAACATATTACGTAACAGAAGTATAGATCGATCAATTTAAGTTTTATTACCCTTTAATCAGATTGAGATTCAATTGCATGGTAAGAAAACACAAATGACCCTCTTTGGATATATCACACACAAAAATAAATAAAATATGGATCATTTAGACGTAAATTTTCAATACAGTTAATGAGAGAAATTAGCTCTTTAAAGATTGTTTCGTTCGTTCGTTCGTTCGCTCATTTTTTCATTCATTCATTCATTCATTTTTTCATTACTTTAAATTTCTGAGACCGTACCATAATCATTTAGCTGTAAAGTTGGGCGGGGTTTGGCTTATGCAGTTCTTATTTTCAATTACCAATGAATAAAGAAATTTTCATTCGGCTAATAAATTGATTGGAATGCAAAATGAATCAATGACATATATCTGATTGGCCCCATATGTATGTTCACACCCCAAAATCTTGTGAAAACATTCCATCAATTAAGTTTTATTACCCTTTAATCAGATTGAGATCGAATTGCATGGTGTGAAAAACACAAATGACCATCTTTGGATATATCACACAAAAACATATTTAAGTTAAAATGGCGACGTTCACAGAATTTGCGGCGCAGTGAACAGGTCACTCAGGTTTCGTGACTATTTCAATATGACACATGTTACGATTTTCAACAAATATACCAAAAGAACAGTTTAGCAACATATCCTGAGCATTTATTTACTAAAAGCATGAACGGAACGGAGTTCTGCACTACAAAAAGCGAAAATAAGGAAAACACGAATAGGAAGACCGATTTCCATCCCCTATTTACAGGTGCAACGAGACCGGAAGTTCGCGTATAGCAAGAACTAATGTATGCTATCCAAACATTCCACAGACATTAACAACAACATGATTTAAGTCTGTAATTGATGATTTATTGGTAAAGCTGCACCATTATTGCGTTGAAAGCCATTGAGAGTATTTGAGAAACGCACCCTATATAGATTAAACGCTGTCTTTTACGTTTGACGTGCGCCGCTATTCATACTATTGCCATGGTATTTACGGCATATTTTTGTTGTATGTTGATATTTTTCTATGTAAGTTTGTGAAAACGTTTTAATTATATGGGTTTATTACATATTAAAATCTCAAATTCGTACCTATTTTATTCAGTTTTTAAACAGTCTTGTCACAGAATATTGGGACAACCCTTGTATGTATCAAAATAAAAATTTGAAACAATACATCAACACTGAAATAAATGCACAGCAAATATAACTATAGATCTGAATTTGCTTTCGCAGCCTTCTCGTATTTTTTGAAAAGTGTGCGCTATATTTATTGTGCGCACTTTTCTCGCATTTAAGTAAAACAGTCACAAATCGTTGGGATTTCAATGACAAGTCATCAAATTAAACGCAAATGTGTTTGTTTTCAGAGAAATTGCTATATAGCTCATACTGAAATGAATCAGATAACACGAGTGTGATATATAATGTATTCACTTATTATGATGCAAAAAAGTATATTCAAATGAATGTCTGTAATCAAAGTAAGAAAATGCCACTCTACGTGCATGTTAAAATTTTTCAATGTTTTACTATGTAATAGATAGGATATTTACTAAAAGGAAACAGATATTCTTTATTGACATATATTCCTCATAGATAAATATCATATTATTATATTCCTTATATTAAATAAATTCATGCTGCTTTATTTTAAGGTAACACAGATGACATAATGACAAGATTGGTTTCAGTAATTTTGGTGTTTGTGTGTCAGATTGGTAAGCAGCTTTTATGTTAATTTACTGCAATTCTACAGCAATATACTTTATTTTTATTAAATAAAACATGAAATAAAGAAGTTGGTATAGGATATATTGAAATAATATATTTCTGTTTTAAAATTATAAATACTGATCTGTTCAAATTGTTCACTATGCAACAGCGGGGCAAGATAGTGTGTTGCTGAGAAGAATATTATTACTGGATGTATACTTAACTATTTTGATTTTTAAAAAAAGCACCGAGTATGTTGTTATCGACTTCATAAGGAAACATGTTGATCTTAATTTCATATTCATTTTCTAGGATTATCGATACAGACATGCAATGAATGTACATGTTGTAAAGGAGGAAGTCAAAAATGTGATTCAAACAGGAATTGTTATGATGGTTGTATCGACGGTTACTATGGTGATAAATGCACAACAGAGTGTCTGGAAAATTGTAAAACTTGTTCAAATGATTATGAATGTACAGAATGTAAACCTGGTTATTATACCAACAAATGTAATTTACAATGTGGGAAAGGTTGTCTCAATAATACATGCTCGCTTGTATTAGGAGATTGTTCTTGTAAATCGACTGATTTCATAAACTTTATGGGTAGATGTGCTTCTTGCGTAGCTTTAAAGTACGGCGATGAATGTAACAATACATGTCCTAGTAACTGCGGTGCGTGTACATCAGATACAAAATGTTCATGGTGTAAAAACAATGTTTATTACGGATCATTTTGTCAACACAGATGTTCAGTTGGCTGCGACGGTCAAAGATGTAGTAAATATGATGGATATTGTTCTACAGGATGCAGACATGGTTATATTGGAGACAAATGTGATACCTGCGAACCTGGACTTTATGGTAGTTATTGTGATTTATCTTGCCCGGAAAATTGTTATGCATGTTTTTCGGCATCAAATTGTACCGTATGCAAATCTGGCTTTTATGGGGAAACATGTAATAATACATGTTCATTAGGCTGTTATGGAAACTGTACAATTGCTGATGGCCGATGCCTTGAATGTAAACCGGATTTTTTCGGAGAATTTTGTGTCGCATGTCAGGGTGGAACATATGGAGTTACTTGTTCCAAACTCTGTCGTGATATCGATTTGAATTGTCAAGGGTGCATTTCCGATGAATTAGGTATATTTGAAAACTGTACAAAATGTAACATTGGGTCCTATCTAGTATCTCATGTTGGACAAAGTTATAACAGGTGTATAAATTGTTCAAATGAGGGATTATGTGAAAGTGGATGTGTTCGAGGAAAATGGGGGGATATGTGCAATTTTAATTGCCAAACAAGCTGTTTAGAATGCAGTCAAACAGATGGAGCATGTTTGGAATGTACACGGGACACATTTTTAGATGATTGCTCAAAAAACTGTAGCACAAATTGCAATGCGACCGCCAGTGATAAAATTTGCACAAGAGATGCTGGGAAGTGTTTACATGGATGTAAATCAAATACTAAATATGGGGAATATTGTGAAAATCTATGTAGTTATACTTGCAAAAACGAAAAATGTGACTGGAAAACGGGACATTGTCTAGAAGGATGTATTATAAATTATCATGGATTGTTTTGTGATAATTTATGTTCAACTTCATGTCTATCTTATACTGGCAAACGTGTGTGTGATGATATAAAAGGTCATTGTTTATTTGGGTGCAAAAAAGGATTCAGTGGAAGCATATGTGACAAATTATGCAGTAGCCAATGTATAAATATAACTTGCAACCAGGTAACAGCTGAATGCTTGTATGGTTGTAAAGACGGATTTAAAGGTTCGAAATGTCTTGAAGGTAAATATAAAGTTACAATGCCGCAGACCTTTTCAAATTAGTTTCGTCAATGTAAATAAGCGTTAGCAGCATTCATTATTGTCAATATAAGTACTGCTTTGGGTTCACTCAATATTAAAGTGATGACGTAAGCAATTCGTATCATTTTCATGTCAGCACAATATATTGACAATTTATTATTGTTATAGACAGATTTAGAGGCCCTAAATGTGTTGAAGATTAATTAAAACAAATGATATTTAACCGTTCAGAAAAATTATCCACCGTTGAAATAGGTTCTACTGAATTGCGTTTTTGTCTTGTATTACATATATACATATATACTTTAGTCCGTTAGCGGACTGACCCAGTGAGCGGAAATATTGTAGCATGTTAACTAAATGCTTAGCAGTACTTTAGCGTTATAAGACCAACAATAAACGATGAGTAGACATCACTATGATATACACATTTAAATACATAATCGTGCATTCCATAATCAAGTTAGCTTTCTGTTCCTTAACTTCAAAAATAAATCGATATTTGCCTTAATATAACTTGTTCAAAGCCCATTATCGTACAGATGAAAGTTTTCATTTAAACATATCGTGTAAGTTCACGGGATAATTATGACATGATAATCGGTGCACGTACGAGGGTATGGGAAACAGCATAATGACCTTTGACATCTAGTGTCTTATGTTTTATGTCTGCACTATTAGATATGCTATTTAATGAGTTTCATTTTTTAAACATTCTTTATTTCAAGCATAAATTTGAATGGCTTCAGTGTTTTATACAAAAGTATACTTGGCCACATTTCTATCTCTTAAAATGAACTATTCCGAAAATCTGAAAATATATATACTTTCAAATGATCTAGATGTTATTTCCATTCGAGCCAATATATCAAACAATTTTATTGCAATAACATCATGCATACAAAAGTACATCAGATGAATTTCAACCACGTGCATCACCAGGAAACGATGTGTGTATTAAATTACAGCACAAATTTTATCTATTTTGAATATATGATAAAAGAGAACATCATCAACGTGTATAAAAAATATCAAGACGTTGGTTTTAAAAATCTATTTGCGACTAACATTATTCTATTATTCTACTTATTCTTGTATTACCTTGATATCACAGAAAACAGTGTTTCACGCTAGACAGAAAAAAAAAAAAAAAAAAAAAATCACAATGTTCACCCAAGCATTAAATTCACCCACACCATATCTCAACAATCTGTTTCGTTTCTTGATGTTCAAGTATCAAAAGGAAAATCGTACGAACTTCAAACTAATGTTTATGTAAAGGAAACTAACAACCACCAATATCTTGATTATACATCCTGTCATCCAAAACGGTGTAAAGACGGAATACCCCACAGTCAGGCTAAGCGTTACAGGAGAATTATATCCGACGACGAACGTGTTCTCTACTTCACTGAGCAAACTACGAGAATTCTTCATAAGTAGAAATTTCCCTGAGACGGTTATAGATTCAGCGTTTTCTTCACGTGTCACAGATGTCACAAGAGGATGCCTTACGGCCACAAGATAAAGAAAAGAAAAACGTTCTTCCATTTATTGTGACATATAATCCGTCCTTACCTAATATTGGAAATACTATTCATAAATATTGGGACCTACTAAATCTGTCAAAAAACGAAGGTGTTAAAAATATTCACAATAACTACACACCCATAATTGCCTATAAACGTCCAAGAAACTTACAAGACTTTTTAGTTAGATCTAGATTTGATACTGACAGTGACTTTACATCACATTCTGGAGGTTGTTTGTAGAAAACGCTGTTCTCATTGTGTTCGTATTAATAGTGGTACGTCATTTTACAGTTCAAATACAGGAGAGATATTTGACTTACGTCAACATACTAACTGTCAAACCAAGAATTGTATATATTTGATAACATGTAAAAAATGTAGCATGCAGTATGTTGGTCAAACCAAACAACCTGTGTCTAAACGAATGAATAGCCATAAATTTGATATATGCAATTTTGTAGATCCTGCATTCTCCACTAATGTTGCAAATCATTTAATAAGGACGATCATAATTTTACCGACTTTTCATTTATGCCCATAGATGTTGTTTTACAATACTTTAGATCGTTTGTGCAAAGAAACATTTTGGATTCATAAGCTAAAAACTCATTTTCCAGAAGGAATGAACACAAAGTTGTTATACTCAATTAAATAATTCATAAAATATCAATCCACGCTACAAATGCTAGAATTACGCCACATAGATATTCGTTTTTTCCTATTATCATTTTTTATAATTAAACCCTATAGGAAATATTCGTATTTATTAATCCGATATCTATTGTGTCGTTTTTATATTTTGATGCTTTGTTTGGTGCACTTATCTCTTTTATCATGAATTGGAATTGTTCGTATTTGTTCGTTTTTCCGCTAAAGTGGGCGTGACGTTAATTGTAAAATTACGACGTCACGTCCGTTGATATTATTATTATTTATTTACCTTGAAAAAGGCATACATTTGCCGAAACGTTGGAAAAATAAAAAATGATATTATACGTGTTATTGCTGTGACTTTATTATTTTAATACGCTAGACAGAATGCATATATGGCTTCAGCGATTACAATATGTTTTTTTTTCGCGAGTAATATTTAAAAATAATTTCATACATAATAATAAAAAAAAGATGAGTAGATATAATGTTTGTTTACTGTATAAATACTAAAAATACAAAGACACTATAAAAATTGTTATATATATCTTACGTTTTCGTCAAGCGGTCGGTATGACGTTTTCTACAATCTAGTTGAGAGATGACTTTTAATAATGATTAGATTTTCCAAAGTTTCGTTTTAACATAAATCCTAACCAATTTTCCCATTAAAAAGCAATAACCTCACAAGTAGTAGTAAATATGTGCAACATCTTCTTAAATTTTATAAAATATATGATTATTTTAAATTGCATTATTATTATATTCAAAGCAGCTATTTTACACAATACACACAACTGTAACTACGATATGTTTGGTGTATTCGAAGGATGTTTTAGACAAACATGACTGACTGTAGATAAGTACCAAACGCGTTACGGAAAATCAAGTTTGTCTATACGGGGAATATCAGTTTTTGACGTATTTATCTTAAACACGTTTTCGTTAGGTTTTTTTTGTGCGCAAGAAAGGTAATCACGGATAATTACTCTTCAAAAAGAGGTCTGACGTTGAATAGTGCTCGGATAATTGTTTAAATTTCGGCTATAAGCAAAAAATACAGAATAAATATTTCTAAATGTTCGGGAGGAGATCGGTTCAAAAGAATTAGGTTTTATACACAACATCAGATAAAGGATTTCTCCTAGCTGTAGTACGACAGCATTGATGATGATTCTGCGCGCATTACCCCACCTTCTTGTGTTATAGTGGCGAAATTTCTTCGCCACTTGATCTACTGGTAGACGAGTGGGCAAAGAAGTTTAAAATGATATATTTTAAAAATGCTGAATAAGTAACAAAACATATCTAAGAAATGTCCCAATTTTCATTATTTTCTTTGTAAATTTCTGAAAACTTGCTTACTGTTCGACATGTTCGGGTATGTTAGTCGAGTGGAGAAAATTAATAATATGGCCTCATATAACTTGTTTTAAAAACATATTCAGTATCATTGACCCTTAATAATCATCAAAAGAAATAGAAATTAATATTACAACATGTTTTTGTTGTATATATGACAATGCATTTAGTATTTTACTGATATTTCTTAAGAAAGCGTGGTAGTTTTGACAATTGGCATATGCGGTAACCATGGAAACCCGTTTACAAATAAAAAATACACGTCAACATATATTTTTATTTCTATTTTTGAATCCACCATAAATATTTTCTTTATATACTTGATATTTCAAAAATGTAGAAAATTCTATGACAGAAATTTTTTGATGGCTTTAATTATTTACAGAATTCATGTTTATTTTTCTCATTTTTTTTTGTTCAGTTAAGAAGCATAAAAAACTCATTTTTTAAATAAATATATTCAGATTATCACTATAAGTTTTGTATAAAAGTATGCTTATTGTGTGTATGTGTGTATGTGAGCGTGCGTGCGTGCGTGCGCGTGTGTGTGTGTGCTAAGATGTCTTATACATTTTATATCACAGGAAATTTTTCAATATCTTTAATTATTCACAGAATTCTTGTTTATTTTTCTCGTTTTTGTTCTCTTAATAAGCATTGAAAACTCTTTGTTTTAAGAAATAAGATCAGATTATCATTTGTTTCATACAGAATAATTGGATAGGGTTATCTTTGCATTAAGCAATGCTTGTTGTGTGTATTAATCTATCTAATACATTTCTATTTGTTATAACACAGTTTGGCTATTTCGACAGTTTTGAGATATACGGTAACCTTGGAAACTGCCATTTTACAAGAAATCCAACACGTCAACATACATTTTTCTTTCTATTTTTGAATTCGCCATTACATTTTAATGATCATACAAAAAAATTAGAAAATTCTATATAATGATTTGATTTTCATAAAACTGTAGAAATGTCTTTAACCTACTTATCTTTGTCTATATATTGCGAACATCTTGTGTATTCTTGATCGCTGAATTATAACTTTTACTTTATTATGAAATAACTAGTTAAAAGTCATCTTCATTATTTTTTACTTTCAACTGATTAATATCATGACAAAATATTATTTATTTTCAAGCAATATTACTGGATCGAGAAGGCATCCTGATAGGATCGATATTAGGATCATTTCTAGCTGGTGGCATTGTTGTTGGAGTTATCGCTTTGGTTGCCTTTAAAGTATGGAAGCGTAGGTTTGTAACTAGATTACAATTGACAGTATTTGTTATGAATTTACACTAGTTCATGCTAAATCAAGTTTTTGTAATATTCTAATTTTGGAAGATACTAGCTTAATAATGCATCAGTACCAATATAATTCATTTATAATCGGCCATCAATGAAGACAGAATATATCTTTTTATTGCTGTAAGAGAAAATATTTATTTGCAATGTTCATAAAATATAGCTTTCTGATTACAGTCTCTGAAACATATTTCCTTGAACACCTTTTTAGGAATGGAAATAGTAAAGAAACAGATACCCACGGATATGAAAATACTCAAGTGCCTGACGAATATCATACAAACGGTAGTGCTTTATATTTACTTCTCATAAACACCACCTTTTTGCAAAATATGCGCAGTTTTA